CTGCCAAATTATGAAGTCTGTTCATTTGCCATGCATGTGTGCAAAGAACTGTAATCAGTGTCACGGCGCCATCATGTGATCATATTCAAGTTTGTCAGATTATCCCTAACTTTTTTTATACATGTTTTTTTTTTGTTTCAGTTGTAGAAAACTCTGTACCGTTGTAGTATTTATTTAACATATTTATGTTCCAACTTCATTTCACTGTTAACCCATTTGTTAAAAGGCCCATCTCATGCAAAATCAACTTTTCAGATCTTTCTACCTTCTAAGAGTGATGTGTGGGCCTTGGATATGTCGCCCAAGTGGTTTTTAGGTTTATTCAGTGTTTTTTAACAAATTGCAGCGTATTTCTGCCACTCTCCCACGTGACAACAAACTAAAGCTGCTACAACGATGACACGGCAGGTACACCTATGACGCGTTTGACGTAGCAGAAAACGCTTCACACCCGCCCCCCTCCCCTCCGCTCTGTTTCTGTAGGCATCCTCTGACAATTCCTACATGAACACCTAAACAAAAGCGACAGCAAAAGCTCATTGTTCTACACTGCAGTGCACACGATATAATAAGTTGATTACTATTTTATTATACTTTACCAATCTGTAATGTTCAGTTGATGTGGACGCGGTGCTTGAGCTTCGTGCTCCTCAAAGTCCTCGTCCGATTCCGGGTTCAACACATGCGGCTGAACGCGCTGTATCGCCATGATGAATAAAAGTTTATTCCTGCCGCTATCAGGATGCACGTCTGTCTCCCCCTCCCTCCCTGTGATGGGCGGAGGAAGGGCGGCTCACTCGTCGCCTACCTCACGTTTGGAGGGCGGAGCCTGTTCTTTCTCAGGACGGGCGGGGGGAGGAGCAATAGTCGGCCTTTCATAGTTCCTGGTCTGTGACTGTCTCCAAGAAATCAGACCACACACACAAATTTGGTTAAATAAAACAAAAGTATTGTGGTAGTGCAACATAAACACACCACTACACCCCCCTACATTTTGGCCAGTTTATAATTGAAATTTCTTTCCTCTCTTTCTTCCTTTTTTTTTTCCTTCCATTTCTGCATTGTGTAACTTTTCTGATGGGTGGTCTGCTTGTTTCCATGGAGATGTTATTGCTTTGCCTGGAATGTCCTGCAGTGTGGCTTTAAATGCATTCTTCTTGTATTTTTGTGTTCACTTAATGTGTTTTTACTGTTCAAAAGTATCTACATCCTTAGCATGAGTGAGTTTGCCTCTCCACAGATCTGACTAAACTGGCCTATAGTGTCACCGCTTCCATTCTCCAGACAGATTAATGCCTTACTGTGGGACATTCCAGGCAATCTTCATGGAAACAAGCTGTACACCTTTAACTAATCTAAATGCTTGATGTATTATGTGTGTGTTTTTTTTTTTTTCTTCACAGTTTCTGAGCCAGTGTTTGTGTCCAAAGCGCTCCAGAAAGCCAAAGTGATTGTGAACGAAGACGGGACAAAAGCATCAGCCGCCACTAGTGAGTGTCTTTCTGTTTTTATTTATATTTATTCATAGTCTCTGTAATAAACCATCAGGCTCCATTCATGGTTGCGTCACAAACTAGGAAGACGTTTGGAAACATGATGACAGCTTCCGGCGGGCTCTGTTCACGCTAGTAAATCTGAAAAAATCTAGGAAAACTTAGAAAATGGCCCAGTTTTCTTCATCTCCAATTCCAACCATACCTCAGTTTTCATCATTTCCCCACTGACACACAACTCCGAGTGCACTGGGTACATGTGATTAGAAGAGACGAGGCGCCAAATTCCAGATGATTCCAAACAGCACAAACATCTGCAGTCTTCATTTTACCACTGATCACATGTTGTCATCTCATGTTTCCAAACGTCTTCCTGGTTTGTGACGTAAGTGTGAATAGAACCTATCTGCACCAAACCAGACACACATTAATACAACATATTTAAAATAATGAACAGAAATGTAAAGTATAAAAATATTTAACAAAAAAATTACAACCCATAATCAAACCATACTGACCACAAAGAAGATAAAACAACAATAATAAAAGAGCGGGAAAAAAAAAATCTTGTGAGACAAAATTACCACAAGATTGTACACTAAAGAGAAAAATTATGTTGTGAGATTTTGTTCTCCAAGTGTTACATTTGGATTGGATGAAAAAGGGTTACGCATTCGTGAGTTACATCTCTTACAGTTCTGAAAAGCAGAACTAGAATGGAAACAAAAATATGAAATCAAATAAATGAGACCAAAATTGGAAACTGATTCAGGAAATGTATGTATAAGGAATTACGCCAAAATCTCATCTTACCTTGTTCTCGTTTTGTGGAAATTGTGTCTCCTGCCACCCTGTTTTAATTAAACACTTGAAAGTGTCTTATTCGTGTGTTAATCTGTATTTTCTTGTGTAGCGGCCATATTGCTGGCTCGATCCTCTCCTCCGTGGGTCACAGTGGACAGACCTTTCCTCTTCCTCATCCGTCATAACCCAACAGGTAATTTTAAATATACTCTAGTTCAATTTAAAAAAAAAAAACCATTCATGCAATTTATTTCCAGTACCTTTTCCTTTATCAGCTTGTTTATCTCTGTCAAAATAACAACACATCAAAACGACAAAGAGCATTAAAGGGCCACTAAACACCATAATCACTTTTTTCTACTGATTTCCTGTGTAAATAGATCTAAAATAGAAGTGTATCTCGATCCCTGGCTTTATTTTGGCATTTTGGTGCATGTTTGTTATAAATCAGACTTTTGGGTCAAAGTCGTGTCTGTATTGATCAACTACGTCCAGGACATTTGAGTGTTTGGATTAGACTAACAGCCGCTAATGAGTCAGATGGAGGTTATTACGTGACGAGCGCAGACACTGGCGTTTACGGGCGGGACGTGAGGAGCACCTCTCAGCCCCGCCCCGACCTGGCACTGCCATGTCCCGTCACGTCTGGAGAAAAGAGAAACGGCGTGATCCGAGCACAAATGTCCGCTCTGTTTCAAAGTTCAGAGAACACTTGTCCGTGCCATGTTGGACTGTTGTGGTGTCAGTCAGCTGTCAGTCATCGCTCCAGAACCCGCCTTACACCTGTCAGGCACCGCCCACTCTGGAGGGTTTTTCAGATTTTGCTTATTGGAGGAGTAAAGCTTCAGGAGGGTGTTTAATGGCTCCTCTGTGGGTGGGACTGTGGGACTTCCTCACCCATTTCCTGGAGAATCGAGGAGAGTTTTCAAAGATTTACTGCACAAAAGGTTACACGGAAAAATATAGAAAAACTTGAACAAGGCCGACCTGAGTAAAAGTCCTAAAAGTTCCTAGTTTTAGTACTGGTTTAGCTTTAATTAAGGTCTGGTTTAGTTCTGTCTTGGTCTTGGTTTAGTCTCCTAGTTTAGTCGTGATTTAGACCTGGTTTAGTCCTGATTTAGACCTGGTTTAGACCTGGTTTAGTCCTGGTTTAGTCCTGGTTTAGTCCTGGTTTAGTCCTGGTTTAGACCTGGTTTAGTCCTGCGTTTAGTCCTGGTTTAGTCCTGGTTTAGTCCTGGTTTAGTCATGTCAGTCACATTTCTGTGGGTGGGACCTCCTCACCCATTTCCTGCAGAATCGAGGAGAGTTTTCAGAGATTTACTGTGCAAAAAGGTTACACAGAAAAACCTAGAAAAAGATGAAAAAGTTCGACCTGAGTAAAAGTCCTAAAGGTTCCCAGTTTAGTCACGTTTGTCTTTGGTTAACTCTCAAACCGCTCATCGGACTGATCTCAAATTTGGAGCGTGTCATCCTAATGGTGCGGGTGTGTGCAGTGCCAAGTTTCATGTTGTTAGGGCAAAAAATGCCAAAGATCTGGTTATAATGAAATACAAAAATGTGCTTAGCTATGTTTTATTTTTTGCAACTAAATTGTGTATACGATGTTTTAGTCGTGTTGTCTACTGTTCCTAGTCCTTTTTTGGCTATTTTAGTGCAAACGAGGTACATTTGCAGCTTTCTGGTCAAAAACGGACAAGAGCTGAGTGTGTGTGTTGCCTTCAGTGGGGTTTTAAGTGCTTGGTGACATCACACAGGGCTACTAGATGTTTCCGCTTCCAAACGCCAGGCTGCAGGGGCGGAGACTGAAGTGTAGATACCCGTTCAACCAATCACGCCGTTTCTTACACCTTTAGACTCTGGTTAGTCCTGGTTTTGTGTCCGAGTTTAGTCCTGATTTAGTCCTAGTTAAGTCCTGGTTTAGTCTCCTGGTTAAGTTCAGATTTAGTCCTGGGTTTGTCCCCTGGTTTAGTCCTGGTTCATCATGGTTTAGTCCTGATTTAGACCTGGTTAAGTTCTTGGTTACTCATTATTTAGTCTTGGTTTAGTCTCCTGGTTTAGTCCTGGTTAAGTTCTCATTTTGTCCTGATTTAGTCCTAGTTTTGCCCTGATTTAGTCTTGGTTTAGTCTTGATTTAGTCTCCCGGTTTAGTCCTGGTTAAATTCTAGTTTAGTCCTGATTTCGTCACCTGGTTTAGTCTTGGTTTAGAGGCCTGGCATAGACTCCTGGTTTGGTGTTGATTTAGCCCTTGTTCAGCCCTGATTTAATCCCGTTTTAGTCCTGGTTTAGCCTTGTTTTAGTCCCGGTTTAGTCCTGATTTTGTCCTGATTTAATCCTGGTTTAGTCCTGGTTTAATCCTGGTTCAGTCCTGGTTCAGTCTTGGTTCAGTCCTGGTTTAGTCCTTTTTTCAGTTCTGGTTTAGTCCTGGTTTAGTCCTGGTTTAGTCCCGGCTTAGTCCTGGTCTAGTCTTGGCTTAGTCCTGGCTTAGTCCTGGTTCAGTCCTGGTTTGGTCCTGGTTTAGTCTTGATCTAATCCTGATTTAATCCTGGTCTAGTCCTGGTCTAGTCCTGGTCTAGTCCTGGTTTAGTCCTGGTTTAGTCCTGGTTTAGTCCTGGTTTAGTCCTGGTTTTGTCCTGGTTTAATCACATTTCTGTGGGTGGGACTTCCTCACCCATTTCCTGCAGAATTGAGGAAAAGGAAAAGGAAGCAAGGAAAAAGAAATGGGACTGGGTTTAGGTGTTTCGTTCCACTTTGCTGCTTTTGGATGAAATCATTCACTGGAGAAAAGGACTGAAATGTGTTTTGGACTGAAATATGTTTGAATCCCGTCATAAATGTGCCCATGTTTTGTCTTCTCTTCTTTAGGCACCGTCCTGTTCATGGGTCAGATCAACCAGCCTTGAGGTCCACCTTTCAAATCTCTTGCCGGGCACTGCCAAGACGACACAGATGTTAATGTCTAGAACTCTGCACAATGTTTATTATTCTGTATTTGAAATGCCTTTGCTTTCTGCACGAGAAGCCTTGAAAACGTTTGACCAACCAGCGCTCTGCTTTTTTATTGTTTAGTTTTATTTGTGCAACTTTCTTTTTTTTTTACACCATTTGAATGTCCTGTGTGTTTTTTGTTTTTGTTTGTTTTTTGGGGTGTTTTTTTTTTAGCAGGATCATGTTTATTTATCTTTTTTTTTTTTGGTTTGAAAAGAAAAAAGTTGCGCCACTCCAGTCTGAGTTTCTTCTGTGGGTTTAAAGTGTCATTCTTCTTACCAGGGCGCCTTCAGTTATCAAACTCTTTTCAATAAATACATTTTTGTTTGTTAAATATTGGTCTTGTGTCGTTTCAGAAAAGTGCATTGTGTAACTTTTCTGGTGGAGTCGTCACCTGTTTCTATGGAGACGTCATAGCTCTGCTTGGAATGTTCCACAGTGTGACATTAAACAGCTCTACTTTACATTTATTCAATTACAAGTGTTTTATAGCTCAAAAATCCCTAGAAAAACAGGGATTCTGGATCGCCTCTCCACAGATCTGATCTGTAACTTGGTTTGGTCTTCCTGAAGATAGAAAGGTTTAATACCACACTGTGAAACATTCCAGACAAAACAATAATGTGTCCATGAAGAAAAGCACTGACAGACCTTCCACCAGAAAAGTGACACAATGCATCTTTAATATTACAGTGTTCTCATATGGATCTTGTGTGTTTAGTAAGTGTAGCGGAATAAAAGAAATAATAATAATAATTATTATTATTATTTTATTTTATTATTATTAAAATAAATATTTGCCAAGATAATATTGTATGGTATTAGTCAGGGCAATACATTTTACATAAATTAATGTAAAAATTCTGACAAAAAGAGAGAAAAGATCCGACTCATGTAAGTCTCAAGTCTTTGACCTCAAGTCCGAGTCAAGTCCCAAGTCAAATACAGACAAGTCCAAGTCGAGTCTCGAGTCACTGGCCCATAAGTCTGAGTCAGGTCCAAGTCATCTGCTTTGAGCTTCAAGTCATTTCAAGTCTTTAAACCAAAAAAGCACCAAACAGAACTAAGATTTTTGCAATTCAAATGACTTTTAAACTCAATTGTATTTAAAATGAACATATTTATATGAGTAGTTATATATAGTTGTAGAAATACAAATTTTTCCTTTTTAAATGTCTTGACAAGATCTTACTGTATTGTACTGTATATTACTGTAGTACATTTGAGAATACCACATCACAGTACTTCAGTTCCATCCAAAGTAACAAACAGAAGTGGGAGGGACATGTTCCAGTTTGTTCCTGTAAAATTCAACACCAACTGTAAAGAGAAAAGTCTTTTCTAAAAACATATTTTTTTTAGGAGAAACGTCAAGTCTTCTCAAGTCACAGGCCTCAAGTCCGAGTCAAGTCCCAAGTCACTGAGCTTCAAGTCAAGTCTCAAATCTTAGTCAATTTTATCAAGTCAAGCCTCAAGTCTGACTCAAGTCCAAGTCACAACTCACAAGTCACACCTCTGCTCGTTGCCATTTGTTACCTCATAGCTGATCAAACTTTTAAGAATATATATATATATATATATATATATATATATATATATATATATATATATATATATATATATATATATATATATATATATATATATAGTTTGGAAAGTCTGAAGTAAAAAACAAAGGAGAAATTGACAACACAACAAAAGATACGGCGCATAAGGAAGCTCTGGTTAATTTATTTTCTAATAATTTACATCTTACAAAATGAACATCAAAAACGGCCATCATTTCAAACAGATCTGAAGGATTATTGGGAGTATAGAGAGAGTTGGTAGTACAGGCCTACACGGTACATGCAGTATTCAGAGACTGTACTTCATGCTCTGTGTACAGGAGCTATAAGAGACAATATACAGTAAGTTTGTCAAGTTTTTAAAGATTTACTGCACAAAAGGTTACACGGAAAAACACAGAAAAACACAGAGAAACAGAGAAAAAAAGGTGGAAAAGGTCGACCTGAGTAAAAGTCCTACAAGTTTCTAGTTTAGTCATGTTTGGCTCTGGTTTAGTCCTGGTTAATTTTGGATTTAGTCCTGGTTTGGTCCTGGCTTTGTCCCCTGGTTTAGTCCTGGTTCGTCATGGTTTAGTCCTGATTTAAACCTGGTTAAGTTCTTAGTTAGTCATTATTTAGTCCTGGTTTAGTCTCCTGGTTTAGTCCTGGTTAAGTTCTTATTTTGTCCTGATTTAGTCCTGGTTTGGCCCTGGTTTAGTCCTGGTTTAGTCTTGGTTTAGTGTTGATTTAGTCCTGGTTAAATTCTAGTTTAGTCCTGATTTCGTCACCTGGTTTAGTCTTGGTTTAGAGGCCTGGCATAGTGGCATGGTTTGGTCTTGATTTAGTCCTGGTTAAGTCCTGGTTTAGTCCTGATTTAGCCCTGATTTAATCCCGTTTTAGTCCTGGTTTAGCCTTGTTTTCGTCCCGGTTTAGTCCCGGTTTAGTCCTGATTTAGTCCTGTTTCAGCCCTGGTTGAGTCTTGGTTTAGTCCTGGTAAAATTCTGGTTTAGCCCTGGTTTAGTCCTGGTTTAGCCCTGGTTTAGTCCCGGTTTAGTCCTGGAAGATCAGTGTCAAGTCTGTTGAAGTATTTTTCAGACTTGTCTATTGAAAAACGTAAAAAAAAAAGATCATTACAAGTATTTTACAAGAAATTTGAGTCTTGTCAGTTTATTTGATTTCAGCTGAAGAATCGTTCTGTTCAGATTTAGTGCAAACTGTCGTCGGGTTCGATCCACGTTTCAGATCCGTCAAATTTCACTCCTGAACTTACGACAGAAAATATTTGTGGATCTTCTAACGACAAATTCATCATAACGTGATCTTAAATAATTCAAACAAACGCATTCAAAGGTCCTGTGTTACGTAAAATCGACTCTTGTGAGCTTTAAGCCGTGTTAGAATGTTACGGGAATGTTCCACAGTATGGCATTAAACTGTCTGTCTCTAGGGAAACAAGCAGGCGAGTTACAAGTCAGGTCTGAGGAGAGGCAAGCCCGCTCCAGAACGAACATTTCTGAAGCGATTTTTCGTCATAAAAACACTACGTAAGACAGATCAGTTTAACGTCTTACCGCGACGTTCCGGGAGGAGCAGTTACGTCGCCATGGAGACTACAAACTGGCACGCTCCCCCGCTAGAAAAGTTACAGAATGCGGCTTTAAACTGGACCTGAATGCGTTTGCTTCGACGTGGAATGTGCGATGCAAATGAACAGACTTAAAAATACCAGTACGTGAGTTTCAAGTATTGCAAAACTGAGATTGTAGCGATAAACAATTCAAACATTTGAGCTTTCGAACGGTCAAAAGTCCTCAAAATGGCGTCCAGAACAGAAAAAAAAAAAGCAACGTGAAGCAACGAAAACTCACGAATGAATCTGGTGAATACACAAACCCAAAATGTAAAGATTGTATTGCTTTTATTAACACACACAATTTCTGAATAAAGTCGAAGTCTGTTCTTTTACCGCCACATCCCGAGACCATTTTAAATACTAATTACAGGTACTTTACTTTACAGGACAAAGCCGGGATCACGATTTTTAAGAGTATTTTAGTGCAAAAAGAAGTAATTTCAGCGTTCATTCAGGTACAATTTCAATATTCACTCGTATTTCCTAAAGGTGCGTTGTGTAACTTTTCTGGTGCTTGTTTCCGTGGAGATGTTATTGCTTTGTCTGAAATGTTTCATGATATGATTCTGTCAGACCAAAATTGGACAGAGTTACAGGTCAGATCTGTGGAGAGGCGACCCTGCTCACAGTCAGAATGTGTTTTTTGAGCCTGGAATTGAATAAATGTAAAGTAGAGCTGTTTAATGCCGTACTTTGGAACATTCTAAGCAGAGCGACGACGTATCCGTAGAAACAAGCAGGTGCTGGAAGCCTCAAGCGAAAAGTTACACAGTGCAGCTTTAAGAACGTGACTATAGTTTATAATTCTTTTACACTGTGTCCATGCAGCGAGTGTGTACAGAACATTAGAAAAGCTGACCATAGTTTAAAAAAAATTAAAAGTGAACCCAGCGTCTCAAATTTACATCAACGTTCGATCACACGAGTACAGACACATCACCGACCACAATATAGTGTTTTGAGAAATATATATACCGGTTTCTGGCACTCATTTTAGTCCGTTATTCGTTAAACTGCCCGTATTGCGCTATTTTCTGATTTATGTTCGATTTATGTTTGATTGAAAACAGACCTGGAGTTGTGTTTTGTTTCATTCACATTTTTAACGCACAAACCTGCACATTTAGGCTGAGTTCTTCTCTCAAACTGAAAACACACGTTCCAGCTTCTGATGGTTGTCGTCATGTGGTAATACAAGAATCGCTCCACTGTGTTTTGAAACTCGGTCTCTTGGCGCTCTACTGCGCATGTCTCCTGCAGAAAGAGCCTCTGTTCTGTCTGAGATCATGTCAGTGTCTTGGAGGATTTCAGCAGATTTCAGACTCTCCCGGGTGGGTGGGGCTAAGTGTATCGATCAGGTGTGAGTGGATGTCCGGCTTTTGAAATCTGAGACATACTCGCCTGATTTAACACATTCAGGTCATTAAAACATATCCCCCTCACTAATGTTCATTTAGTATCAGAACTTATTTTATCATATGGTGATAAATGGAGTTTAATAATTAACTGCGATTCAGGAGCTGGACCACGCCTTAGCCTTCTCTCCCGATGGCCATCCCAACGACAATGTCCATGTCAGCTCTCTCGATCCCCTCCCACCTGTGAATCTCCTCCATCCTTTTGTCCAAAGACGTCATCTTCAAGGAGGAGGGGTTCTGATAGACCGGTTTCACTTTGTGGAAACAGTCTGACTCGCAGTGTTAGAATTCGTTCGCTTGATGGTAGGCGGGTATTTTTTTTTAAATTTAACCAATCACTGTTATTTAGTCGTGATGTATCTAATGCTCCAAACCCCATAGGAAGAAGGACAATAATGTCTTTCTCCTTGATAAAATTTACCAAACATTCTCTTTATTCCAGCTTCAAACCCTCGATCTCGGGAATCGTTGCCAACACAGAATATCTGTCTCTTCGCTGATTGGCTGGTGCCTGAACTCGCACTTCCGGGATTCTTACAAACTGTCTAGTGTATTCTGATTCCTGACCTAGTCACTGGAGAGAAATGAAATTGAGTGGAGACACTAGGTGACACCGGTCTGGCTGGGGTTCTGAATCAGCTGTGTGACCATTTTAGATTGGAGACAAAGCCCCCACCCTGAGTCTCCTCCAGACCATCACTACACAAACAAAACTTTCACTGTCACAATCTTGCCCAAAGAGATCCGCACCTTCTTTGTTTACTTCTGATTAAACTGTTTATATCTTACTAGAAACTCAAACCGTCAATAAACATCTTTATCATATTTTATTGATGTGGCGCAGCCTGTTCATGTTAACTTTCTGCACTCAGGCTGCGCACGCATCCGATCTCAAAGGGTAAAAGGAGCTGTTAACTTGAAAACTACCACTTAATGACATCACAAGGTGAGACAGAACATTTTGAGCGTTGGAGATGTAGACAATCCACTAATCTAGAGTTATTCAAATGTGTGTGAATGAACCAAAACACAACTCCAGGTCTGTTTGTGAAGAGGAAACAACATTATAACAGATCAGAAATAGTGTAACATGGTCCTTTAACAGTGAACTCTGTACTGTAATGAGTGCGTCTTTCTCGTCTCTCACACTAAACGCAGAGAGATTTCTAAAGCACAATTCCAGTGAATATGTACCTAATAATGTGGCCAGTGACTTTGTACTTCATTCAAAACAAAGTGACAACAGTCTGGTTCAAAACAACTATATGAAAAAGTAAAACAGCTGAAATAAACTCAAATTAAAGTTGTTTTGTGCAAACCTTAAACCTCAATGTAAAGTCTTCTTCATTTCATTTTAAAAACGGCAATATATTAATAGATCGTAATTACAAGTCCATGTTGGTACGACGGCGTTTTACTGGTCGCTCCACGTGTTCGAGAAGTTCTTGGGGGTTCGGCGTCCGGCTCGTGGCCCAGTCCTGCCGCTCTGGGGGAAGCCCACGCCCTCCTGGGCCTGGTGGATCCTGAAGGCCTCGCGCAGGTTTTGGATTCTCACCTCTTTGCTCTGGATCTCCTCCACAACGCGACTTGGGAACCAGCCCCGCTCGCCGTCGTGAAGCCGCTCGCCCATCATCCAGCCTGCAGGACAAAACTCAGGGATCAGTGTGGTCGGAATAACTAAAGTTTGTTCATTACCCAGCCTGCAGGACAAAACTCGGGGATCAGAGTGGTCGGAAATAACTAAAGTTTGTTCATTACTCAGCCTGCAGGACAAAACTCAGGGACTCAACTCAAGTGTTGCCATAATAACTAAATAAGTAGTGGTGGACTGTACAAAGAACTACAAAAGTAAATTATTAATATATTATTATTATTATTATTATTATTTTTTATTATATATTAAAGTGCATTTTTAGATACCTGTACTTTTTTTTATACATTTTACAGTGGATACTTTTTACTTTTCCTTCATAACATTTTTGAGCATATATCTGTACTTTTTACGCCATTACATTTTACATCTGAACTGAAAAGCAGAAAGTACTTTTCTTTATGGTTTGAGACTTGCTGAAAAAAAACAAATTTAATCTGAGTTAATGTCCAGACTTTGAGCAAACCAAACACACAAGTACACTACAATTAAAAAAATGACTGCATCACTTAAAATAATCTAAATTCTTTATCAAAATCACTACATGCTTATGCTTTAACTGTTCTAAAAATCTCCAAAAATATTTTTACTTTCTTAGTGCATAAAAAAAAAAAAGGAGTTCAGTAGTTTTACTTAAATAGATTTTTTTTCATGTGATATTCTTACTTCAGTATTTCGCTACTATATCTGTACTTTTACTTAAGTTACAAAATGGAGTACTTCACCCACCACTGTAAATAAGATTGTCATTTTATTTAAATGTTTATATTATTTTATTGTTTTTATGTATTTATCAATATTTTAAGACTTTGCTTTTATTTGACTTTACTACTTTTAGTGTTTTAGAACTGGCAAAGTTAAATAGAGCATTCATATCCTTTGTTATTTTTGTTGTTTTTAACTTTGGAAACTGTTTTATTGATAAAACGTGCGATAGAAAAAAAGTGGATTTGGATTTTGTGATCGCACCATCATCCGTCCGCTCCAGCAGATTCAGCACGTCGGCCATTTCTATGGAGAGCTCGTCTGGCTCCTGTGACGAGTACGACTGGATGCACTGGACCTGAGGGGAGTCTGCAGCACCACAACACCGCGGACTTTAGTTATTTACATCTACAGAATATCGAGTCAAGTCATTTTTTATTAGAGTCAGTGTCAAACCTGATTGATGGGCGCTCGTGGACATAAAACGCGTGCGACGACTTGGGGTCAGAGCACACATCCACCTTAGTTTGTCACTCCTACACAGACAGAGAAGAAATGATTAGAAAATACAGTATATGATTAAAGGTGTTAAATTATACAAAATTGACTCTTATGAGCTTTAAGTCCTGTGAAAATATTGCTACCTCCTCAAAAACATACCCAGATTTGTTTTGTTTCACTCACACATGTTTGAATAACCGTTTTTTATTATTATTAGACTGTCTACATCTCCAAAGCTCAAAATGCTCTGTTCCACCTTGTGATGTCATGAAGAAGCAGTTTTCAAGTTAATAGCTTCTTTTACGTTTAGTTCAAAAGAGATGGGCAATTCCAGGGCTGAAATTAACCAATCTCTAACCTTAAAAACACAGTGGAACACCTCCTGTATCACCACATGACATCACAAGGTGGAACAGAGTGTTTTTCATTTGAGAAAAACAAAATAATAATACTAAATAACAAGTATCTGAATTAAATGGTCATATATTTAAATCAAAAAACTGTCACCCATTCACACACATTCATACACCAGTGTAAGCAGACACTAGGACTAGGGGTGAGGTGGGTTAAGTGTTTTGCTCAAGGACACAACAACAGCATTCATCTGTGGGATGGAGGTTTTTCACGCTCTGTGCTCTGGTTCTGGTCCCGTCACGATTCAAACAGAATGTAGAAAGGACGATATAGGGAAGATCATTTGTTTCATCAGATTTAGAATTTTAAATGCCGCTGAATTTCTCATTTTTAATTTTTTTACTCTGAAAAAACATGTTTGAATTATTTTTATTCTGAATAGGAAGCAGCGTCTGTCCTCCTCATTCACATGGGATCGATTGCTTCTGCCTTGGCATCTTGGATCTTGGCTGTTAAATTTTTTTCCTTGCAAATATTACTATCTGAATTTTGATTGTTGAATTTGAGGGCTTGAAAATATCTGTGCTGAATATTTACACGATACTACTAGAAAAAGACATGCACATTCAACAAAAATTGTGACAGTGCGCTAGGTCCAAATACAAAAATTATGCAAAAAAAAAACCCAAAACACACGTCTGAAAAAGGGCTTGACCTGAAGCGTCACATTGTGGTGTCAATGAAATACAAATTTTGGAGCTTCAAGGAACTGCAGTGTGAATATTTAAAAGGTGACATTTTTATTTTGAATCTGAAAAATATTGAGAAAGTATACTTAAAATTTAAACAACTCTAAAATTCAGGATTTCATCTTTTTTCAATTCAGCAGTATTTAAAATGTTATAAATGGGCGACAGTAGCTCAGTTGGTCGAGCGTTTGTCCACTGATCTGAAGGTTGGTGGTTTGGTAATGGTCACATTTTTCTATAGCACTTTTCCACCTTTAAGGCACTCTAAAGCTCTTTACAACAAGAAACCACTCACCAATTCACACACACATTCATACACCAGTGTACAGAGACACTGGGGGCGAGGTGGGTTAAGTGTCTTGCCCAAGGACACAACAACAGCATTCATCTGTGGGAGCTGGAATCACACCAGCCAACCTGTGGGTCAGTGGATCTGGCCGCTCAACCTGTGATGTTTTTTTTTTTTTTTTTTTTTTTTTTTTTAATGTCAAGAGCGGGATTCGAACTGCCAACCTTCAGACCAGTGGACAAACGCTCTGACCATCTGAGCTGCTGCCGTCCCCCGGTTTGAATCCCACTCTCAACATAAACATCATTGGATGAGCAGTCAGATCCACTAATCCACAATTCCATAATTCCATAATTGGCGGTGTGATTCCAAGTCCCACAGATGAATGCTGTCATTGTGTCCTTGGGCAAGACCACCCTCCCACCTCGCCCCCAGTGTCTGAGTACACTGATGTGTGAATGGGTGAGTGGGTCCTTGATGTAAAGTGCCTTGAATGTGGACAAGCGCTCTATAAATGTGACCATGATCATTTACGAAAAATCTAATTGAACAAATTACCTTCCAGGAAACTCACAATGTGTTTTTTCAATCCGTATTTCTGAGTCACTGTTTTGTTACTTCCCCACACTGTTTACATTCATGTCAGGGAGCCCATGTTAACCTTGTACAGTTGGTGTTTTGATACTCACATGCTGGTGGTCTTGAGCATGTAGTTGGCCGGCCGCTCCTCTTGGTTTTCCAGCAGTCGAAGGTTGAATACGTTGGCCAAGAGCTGGCCCTGGTCTTCCAGGTCATCAGTCCTCAGCATGGCTCTAGTGCAAGAGTCCAACACCTGGAACCTATCTCCACTGAAAACACACGACAAGGATTTTACCGTCACAACCATGACATGGATCTGAATCAAGCTGAACATGATCAGAATACCCAAGCAGTTAGAGGTTTTTAATCTTGAGAAAGGATTCTAATGCTATGTTTTATAGATGTATATTAGTGGACCTTCAGTTAAAAGAGCCAATTCTAGTCTGATCTTGGAAGCTTAAAGGTCCTGTATTACACAAAATTGATTCTTCTGCTATAATGTTGTTTCCTCATCACAAACCTCAAAAGAAACAGAAAACGCACACCAAAATTCTTGTAGAGGTGCAAATGCAAGGAGCAACAAGACAAAAGCAAAAAAATGCATAGCACACTCAGACAGCTGATGTCCAAAAGCTTTTTTATTTTTAAAATAACATTTCGGCAAAAAAAGCCTTCATCAGAAATTTTTCTTGCTTTGGACCACAGCACACAAAATGGTTGCCAGCCCAGGTGAACATATACCCCTCCAACGAATGGGAGGTCCCAAAGTGAGGTCACCCAGTGAAATGTTATTTTAACAATAAAAAAGCTTTGGGACATCGGCCATCTGAGTGTGCTATGTATTTGTTCACTTTTTTCTTCATCACAAACCTACCTGGAGTTGTGTTTTGTTTCATTCACACGTTTAACACAAACCCTGCAGCTCTTTTCTCAAACTGAAAACTCTCTCTTCTACCTTGTGATGTCATGTGGTAATACAGGGAAGTGTTTCATTGTGATTTTAAACTCCACACACCTTCACTAGAATCAGCTGTTAACTTGAAAACTACCACTTCATGACATCACAAGGTGAAACATAGCATTTGGAGCTTTGGAGATGTGAACAGACTAATAATACAAGGTGCAATAAACATGTGTGAATGAAACAAAACAAACTCCAGGTGTGATTGTAATAAGAACATTATAACATGGCTTAAAGCTCACAAGAGTAAAGTTTATGTAACATAGACTCTTTAAGCAGTATTGTGAAAGAACATCCTGTACATTTGTCTCACTGTCTCTGTATCTGTGGCTCTCTCTAGTCTGTTTACCTGGAGTTGCGTTTGGTGATGAGCAGCAGGTTGTTGAAGAGGAACAGGTACACAGGCTGGTACAGTTTTTTGCCTTTTGTGGTTCTGGTGCTTTTGGGCCCCGACATGAGCTGCACCTCTCCCTTCTTCAGGAGCCAGCGCGAGTGAGAAATAATGGGAATGGACTGGAAAAGAAAGACCAAGAGATCAGCAACTATTTATATTTACAGAATTCATGATTAAGAAGGTTAGAGCAGCACCACAAGCTCAATAGGAAAAACAGATGATTATAAAAATGCACTCGCCAATAGCACTGACTAAACATCTGAAATGCTAATTTTACTCAAATGTATGTATGTATAAAAGTACGTACGTATGTATGTATGTATGTATGTATGTATGAATTAACATTTGAACGTATGTGTGTATGTATGTGTATGTATGTATGTATGTTTGTATGCATGTATGTATGTATGTATGTTTGAACATATGCTTGTATGTATGTATGCATGTATGTATGTATGTATGTAAGTATTTATATAAATACGTAAGTATGTATGTATGTATCTAATGTATTTTTTTTATTAGAATAGTTATTATTCTATTATTAAATTAATTTTATTAGAATAATTTATTAGAATTTTTTTATTAGAATAACATTTTGTCATAATACTAAAGTTTCAAACTGGATTTCAGTTCTAAATTAGCGAGTGGAATTAATCTAGACTGCAACGCCATCTGTGGGTCAAAATATGAACTGCAATAACTAGAAAAAATTTAAACTGAAACTGAATCTACCTATGGTTTATTTTACATAGGCCTGTCACGATAACACATTTGGAAGTGTGCTGTATTGCTAATGTAAATACAGACGATAAACCATAATAATGAAATCTATTTTAGACACAAAAAACAAGAATTATTAAAGAATTATATATAAAAAAAACAGCAATTCTAAATATACTAAATAATAAATAAAAAAATACAAGTTGCAATAACTGAAACTCAAAATATTTTAGATTACAAAACTACAAGATTAAAAATGTTGAAATGAGATGTATTGCTATTGTAAATACATACAATAAACATAATATTGAAATCTATTTATACTACAATAACCAAGAATTATAAAAATATATATACATACATAACTATATCGTTAAAAAAACATAAGCTACAATAACTGAAACTCAAAATATTTCAGATTACAAAACTACAGGAGCCACAAAGGACCAAAAAAAAAAGACAAAGAAATGTACCTTTGATTTAAACTCAAGTGTTTTTTCAATGCTGATGAGCTCTTCAGTGCGCCCCATCTTACGCACGCCTTCATTGCAGTCTTTCACAATCTGAAAACCAAAACCAAAAATGATGGCGTGTTAGTGTAAATGACGCTGGTACTGGCTGTAATTCTAGGTTTGATTTTCACCTGTTCAAGTCTCTGATGTGCTTTAATGGCGTTGGCCTCTCGCTCGGAGCCTTCTTCAGCTTTTTTCAGGATATTCTGTGGGAACAAATGTGAGTAAGCGTCACTCTGTGTGGTGGAGTGAGTGGTTTCAAAGTGTGCTTAGAGGAACTGCAAAAAAGACGAGTTTTTAAGGAAGAAAAGAAGTGGCATGTTAGAAAATGTTGGTCTTGAATTCAAATTAGGGCTGAGAATCATTTGGAAGTTGCCGATACGATACATATCTCGATACATAGGCCATAATACGATACATACCTCAATACGATACATATCTTGATACATAGGCCATGATACGATACATGTCTCGATACGATACATATCTCGATACATAGGCCATGATACGATACATGTCTCGATACGATACATATCTCGATACATAGGCCATAATACGATACATACCTCAATACGATACATATCTTGATACATAGGCCATGATACGATACATGTCTCGATACGATACATATCTCGATACATAGGCCATGATGCGATACATGTCTTGATACGATATATATATATATATGTTGATACATAGGCCACGATACGATACATATCTCGCTACAAGTGCACTTTCGATTCGATATGATATATTCCAAATCAATTCAATACGGTTCAGTAAAAATAATGTCTAAATTATGACTGTGATACTGAAACACAAACATTTAAATCCTCAAAACTGTGAAAATGTCAAATAAGTTGCAGAAACAAGTGTCCTTCTTCTGAACAAGCAACAAAACTGTAGTGTTGTACCAAAATAATTTAGTAAAATATACCAAAAAATACTCTTGGCAATATATCGATACAACAGCCCACGATATCGATACTGTATCATCACATTAAATAATATGATATATCGATATTTCAATATATTTGCACACCTCTAATTATAATATACAGTTACTTGGCTGCTGGAACATAACAAAGTAGTAAAGTACTGCACTTATGTAAAAAAAAAAGTTATCTGTACTTAAAGGTAGGTGTATTGTGTAACTTTTTTGGTTGGGGGTCCGTCACCTGCTTGTTTCTATGGATATCTCATTGTTCTGCCTGGAATGTTCCGCAGTATGATGTGAATACATTTTACTTTGACTCCACTACTTTTTAATACATTTAAAAGGGTAATATAATACTTTTACTTATGTAGATTTTTTCTTTCTGCTTTTACTTTTACTTGAGTATTTTTTTGCTCCAATACCTGTAAATATTCAGATTTGATCTATAATTGTAAGCACTTAGCATAGTACTGTCTGTTTTTAAATGTGTTCTATAAATAAACTTTGACCTTACATGAAATAATGCTGTTCTATGGGCTGCAGTAAGTTTATAGCTAAAAGGCCGTGCCAATTTGAGAATGCCCAATCTCGTAGAATCTTGACAGGGTTGGGCCTGGTTAGGACTTGGATGGGAGACCGCTGTGAATGCCACGTGCCACAGGGGGGCAGCAGAGGCTCTAGTTTGAATGTGGCGTGTGCGTTAATGGTAGTTGAATTCTGCAGATCAGCTGTAAACACTGAATGCATTCTGTTTGTTAGATTATTCGAATGCACAGATAATACAAAATGTTAATGTGAGTTAAATGTCCACACTGATAACATTAAAATGGCAGTGTAGCATCAGTTAAAGGTCATATATTATGCAAAAACATACCTGGAGTTGTGTTTTGTTTCATTCACACACACACACTCCAAAGCTCAAAATGCTCTGTTCCACCTTGTGATGTCATGAGGATGTAGTTTTCAAGTTAACAGCTACACTTTACCTTTAGTTTTCAATAATTCCAGGGCTAAAATGATCCAAATGATTCTACTGAAGGTGTATGGAGTTTAAAATCACAGTGGAGCACTTCCTGTATCACCACATGACATCACAAGGTGGAACAGAGCATTTTCTGTTTGTGAGAAACATTAGATAAATGCCTAAATCTTTGTGTGTTAAACGTGCATGAAAGAAACAAAACACATGAAAGAAACAAAACACAACTCCAGGTCTGTTTGTGATGGGGAAACATTAGAACATAGATAAAAAAATAGAGTAATATGGACTTTTTCATTTGTATAAAACAGATTTATAATTAAAAAAAAAATTGAATTGATCTTATCTTCAGTTATGATAAATATTTCTTTATTTATTTAGTTATAGATGGTTTTAATGCTCAAAAATATAAATATTCTGACTGTGAGCAGGATTGCCTCTCCATAGATCCTGTAAATATAACTTGACCTGTTAACTTCCTCCGGCTTGATCTCCATGAAGATAGAGAAGCATTTGACGGACCCTCCATCAGAAAAGTTACACAATGCACCTTCAACAAAAATATAAGTTTGTATTCAGACCTGTACGAGGAGCTTGAGCCTGGTGATCCTCTGAAATGGCAGGATCAGAAAAGATGTGAAGGACAGACCTCGGACTCTGGGGTGCTTCTCCAAAGTCTCCATGACCTCTCGAAATGCCTGGTTCCCCTCTCTGCAGAAGAGCACACACATAGGGGTTAGGAGAAGCAATCAGCAGCTAAATTATATAACAATTCAGATCTGTGGACAGTCGTCACTATTCACAGAGGGCAACATTCCACAACTGACACACTTTTGCAAAACTTTTGGTTCAAAGAAAACTAATCTGACGAAGGCAATAAGGCAGAAAAAAATCTAAAACCCGAGAGTGCGATGCGATGCAAATTATTTGAATTTTTTGTGTCTTTAGGTCCTTGATCTTCACCTCAGGAAAGATTTCGTTTCTGTTTCTCCCGTTCACGTTTCGTTGTAGATAACTTTCAGTAATTCTTGTTAAGGTCAACACCTGAAGGGCTCATACCTGCACTTGTGTTTAGTTTCTTTCACACATTTTTAACACAGAAACCCTGCATGTTTAGACGTCTCTCAAACTACTTCCACTTTGTGATGTCATGTGGTAATACAGGAAGTGCTCTGCTGTTCTAGAAACTTTTGCATAATTTCAGCTCTGAAACTGCCAATCGCTACTAAGATAAAAGTAAGAGGTAGCTGTAATTTGATCATAATCACAAGGTGGAGCAGAGCATTTTGAGCTTTGAAGATGTAGACAGAGTAATAAAAAATAATTACTCAATCGAATGAAACAAAACACAACTCCGGGTATGTTTTGCTGAGGTAACAATATTATATCATGGCTTAAAGCTCACAAGAGTTCATTTGGTGTAACATACAGCCTTTAAATACCAGATGTACCAGAGGTGGGAACTTGCAAGTCTTAATTTGGACTCGAGTCACACTTGAGTCACACTTGAGTCACTATTTTAGGACTTGAGACTTGACTTGATAAAATGGACTAAGACCTGGGACTCGACTTGGACTTGAAGCTCAAAAACTTGGGACTTGAGGCCTGTAACTTAAGAAGACTTGATGCTTCTCCTAAAAAAATATGCTTTTAGAAAATACTTTTCTTTTTAGGTGCTTCATATAACAGAAACAACCTGGAACATGTCCCTCCCACTTCTGTTTGTTACTTTGGATGTAATTGAAGTACTGTGATACTCAAATATATTACAGTAATATACAGTACAATACAGTACAACAGAGGGAACCACATAGAACATGATCCTTCATGACAAAATAACCATTATAAATACTTTTAAATCTGAATTCTTTCTGTTCCGACCGTAATGATTCACTCTAAAATCTTGTCAAGAAATTTAAAAAAAGAAAAATTTGCATTTCTTCAACTCTTATATAAATACTCATAAATATACCATGACTTTTAAAGTTTAGTTAAAAAATCATATACATTTTCAAAAATCTTAGCTATATTTGGTACTTTTGTTTAAAGACTTGAAATGACTTGAAGCTCAAAGCAGTCGACTTGGACTTGACTTGGACTTATGGGCCTGTGACCTGAGACTTGCCTGTGTTTGACTTGGGACTTGAGTCGGACTTGAGTTCAAAGACTTGAGACTTACTTGAGACTCGCAAAACAACGACTTGGTCCCACCTCTGAGATGGACTTTTACTTGGGGAATATATTTAAACAAATCCATTTCAGCATGAGTAGAGTAGAGTATTAAAGTCGTAGTAATTGTAGTAGGTTGTACACAAGTCATGACTCTGTTTGAACACAGATATGTCACATGGTTGTAACTTGTAACTTGAGCAGCCATTGTAATAGTATCTGTGTAAGAGAATACAGCAGTTACCATACTTAGTGTAAGGAAATAAAAGTTTGTAATGTTGATTGTTGATATGCAAAACCAAGCCACGGCCAAGGCACCAAAACTGGTTTAGTCCAGGGTGGAGCACAACCATAGCACATTTTTATCAAAACTAAACTCCAGGCATGCACCAAGGATCAAACTACACTTTTGTAATTATAACTTCTTTAACTCATAAATCCTTTTTACTAATGTATAAAAGAGGTTGGGTCATGCCATTTTAAGGAAACATTGTCTGACTTTTCAAAACTGGTTTCAGTACTTTCAGTATTTTTTTGCCATATTGATACAATACAAATATTTCATCTTTGCAGTTTTCTCCTTAAGACCTCTTGTTTACAGCTGCCATATATTTGTATTAATATATATTACTTTTACTTGTACATATACATTGATATAGTTATGTTTTTGTCACCAGTCTCTTGCTGTTTTTACTACTTATTTTGAATTTATTATTACCATTTATATTTGTGTGTCTGTGTCCAATAATTTCCCTTGTGGCTCAATTAAGCTTGTCTAAGTCCAAGTCTAATTAAATAAGTATACACGATGTAAAAATATATGTTGACTCACCATCTAAGACAAATTTACAATAATGTTTACGAAATAGCATTCCCAAAACTATTTAATATACCTTTAGCGTTGACTCAGTTTTGGTTTAGTCATGATTTCGTGTACTGCCCCTGTCCTCGGTACCTTGGCGAACCAGTTTTTTTCCTCTTCCAAAACCAGTGTGTCTGGCAGATCGAGCTAATGGTTTGGTAGAACTGCTAATGAGTTGTCTGCAGCAATAAAACTAAAGCTCTTTATTTGCAGAGGCCGTAACTGCATTCTATAGACTGATCGTTTTGAATACAATACGTGAATAGTTTTCGAATGCGGATGGGCAGTAGCGGGTTCTAGGGTGTAGCCGGTCGTAGTATAGTGAGCATGACTTCCTCGCAAACAGACTATGGCAAGGCAAGGCAGCTTTATTTGTATAGCTCAAGCCGTACACAAAGTCATTAAAAAGTGCATTGTGTAACTTCTGCTGGAGCGATAAATTGTGACAAATGCTTTTTTCCTCCATAGAGATGTTATTGTTTTGTCTGGGATGTTTCACGGTATGGCATTAAACCTTTCTATCTTCATGGAGACCAAACCATGGCAAGTTACAGGTCAGATCTGTGGAGAGGCGAGCCCACTCACAGTCAAAATGTATGTTTTATAAGTATTTTTGAGCTGTAAAACCACCTGTAATTGAATAAATGTAAAGTAGAGCTGTTTAATGTCACACTGTGGAACATTCCAAGCAAAGCAAAGACATATCCATGGAAACAAGCAGGTGACGGACCCCCAACCGAAAAGCTACACAGCGCACCTGAGATCACCGTAGACCATTGTTTCCCAAAGACTGCGTCGTGACCCTTAGGTGGGTCGCAAAAGATTCTTTTTGGGTCGCCTTGTCACAATCTGCATGTAGGTTTGATATATGCAGTTCTGACACATGAGATTTTCTGTGCTCACAAAAATGACGACAAAGCACAGAAACAGACTGAATACTGCGGCTGATATGCGTATTGTTCTCTCTTCTTGCACCCAGACTGAAACACACTACAAAAACGCAGACAGGCCCATCTATCTCATTAAAAAATTTGAAATGTTAAGACATGTTTTGCATCATTTCTAATCTTTTTGTAATTATTTCATTGACTATTTTGTTCCAATATTGCTGGTTCAATTGAATGTTGAAAAAAAAAAGAAATGGGCTACATTTAGTGTCCAAATAGGTGACTTATGGATTGCTTTATTGCTGCTTCAGTGACTGTTTTCCATCCTTTAAAACTTGAGTCATACTAATTGTTCAGAGAGACACGATCACTCAGTCAACCAATCGCCTTTATTTTGTGATTTATTAATAATGTCTCTTGACTTGGATTGTGAAGGTTTGTGACTTTTAAAATATGGATCCCTAGAAAAAAAGTTTGGTAAACACTACCTGAGACAATAGATTTAGGAAATAGCTGGATCTGAACTGCAACTTGGTCTGGTTTGGTCTCCATGAAGACAGAAAGGTTTAATGCCGTACTGTGAAACATTCCAGACGTCTCCATGCAGAAAAGCATTTGATTGGACCCTCCACCAGAAAAGTTACACAATGCACCTTTCAATCTCATCATATCATCAGAGTACTGCAATGAAAAGGTACACAAGATAAATATGAACCTCAAAATATACTGTTCCAGCTTTTATATACTGAAGTCAATGTAGTAATTATCATGACAGATAACGTTTCTAAACTGCTGATTTTATTGGGAAAGCACTTTGAGCACCTTGAGCTGTGAAAGTGCTCTATAAATAAAGGTAAACGTGCATTGCGCAACTTTACTGGTGGACGGTTTGCCAGTTGTTTGTCTCCATGGAGATGTTATTGCTTTGTCTAGAACGTCCCACAGTATAGATTAAAGCTATCCATCTCAAGGGAGTCAACTATAGCCTACATTACAGGTCAGATCTGTGGAGAGGCAACGCTATTCACAGACAGAATTATTGTATTTTTGAGCCATAGAAACTGTAATGAATAAACCCTAGATAGATGTGGTTAATGTCATACCGTGGGACATTCCAGGCAAAGCAATAACATCTCCATGGAGACAAGAAGTAATGGACCCTCTACCAGAAAAGCTGCATGATTCGGCTTTAAATAGTTGAATTTCTGTGACGTGTGTAGAGATAATTATAGAGAAGAGCGTCTGAAGAATTATTGTTAGAACACTAATCCAAAAACAACATGTGAATGAGCCTTTGTTAAGACCGCACCAACACAATGATGAGAAGGAGGAGATGTACCACAAATATGCACGACGGTGGTAGTTTTTATTACTGAAAAGAACATTATGTAACTTTTCTGAGGAAGTGTCTCCATGGAGATGTTATGACTTTGCCTGGAATGATCCACAGTTTGGCTATGTTGCATTTATTCAGTTATAGACATTTTCATTTCATTGTGGGATATCTATCTTGAAAAACATGCCATGTTACTGTGAGTGGGCTCGCCTCTACACAGATCTGACCTGTGATCTGACGTGGCCCGGGGGTATCGCCTGCTTAGTGTAATGCCATACCGTGGAACATCTCTACGGAAACAAGCAAATGGCGAACCCTCCACTAGAAAAATTTCATAGTCCATATTTAAATACATTGCACAATCAGATTACATAATTTGGTCTGGTTTAGTCTCCATGAAGATAGAAAGGTTTAATGCTATACTGGCCATGTTTACAAATTAATTACAAATTAATTG